TGGCGTAGTGGGTAGCTTTCCAGTTCACGCTTCATTCACCATAGACACGATGAATTTCCATTTAGAATTTAATCAAATCCTCCATCACTCACATGAAACAAGCTTATTTTGTCAACAATCATGAGCACGACGCCCAATTTTTTCAGTAAGATCCGTTTCGTCCATGGATCTCATGTGATTAAAAATGAATAGGGATATGACAAAACCGCTTCAGTCATTCCGAGTGACCGTATACCACCTGTACGGTCGTATAATCGAAAAAGTTCTGATTTAGATAGTCGAAGATGCGTTGAATTCGCACTGACAAGTTTTTCAGTACTTTCATGACATGCTGACTTACCATGATCCATGATTACATGTCTGTTGTCACATTTGGGGTTTCCAACTTTTCGCCAGAGGAGAACCCGTTTGGACTAGCCTCCAGGATGCGATGCGTCAATGTTTATTTCGAAATACGATGTAACAGCGGTCCACTACCTTCGCTTATACCTCTTCTCCTCTCAAACATATGAGTTAATCTTTACCAACTTCAGTGTGCTTCACAGTACATTTCAGATACAGCCCTCCAGTTCAGTAGCACATGGACAAGTTCGTTCTTTCCAAAAAATCGGGCACGTTAAAACCGCATTTTGTTACCGCACTGTCCGACATAAAAGACCCCTTAATGACCACAATTCCCCATCATCGTACAGCGAAATACAATAAAGCGAAATTCACTGATCGCTTCCAAAATCGCAATGCATATACATTGGGGTTTGATGGACGGGTACTGCCGGGGTGTTCAGCCACTGAGCAGGAGAACGATTGGGGTCCTCAACTAAAGTCTTTAGTTCTGATAAAAAGTTACCCGCAATGCAGCGGATGAAGCGAAGTGTAGGCCGATTTGCTTGGATCAATTACTTCCTCACCATTTTGTACCGACTGAAACGCAAATTCTAGTCGAACTCCCAACTTGGAGGACCAGGAGACTGAACTTCGTCCGACCTCTACCCGTTGACGTTTCAGACGTGATTAGATCTTCAGCTTGACAAAAGCCATCTTGTGCAGATTGTTGGGTCACAGAGGTGAATAGCGATTACGTCACGTCAATGTGCATTCCAGTTATGAATGCTCACATATTGGAAAAAATCCAGCCAGACAAAATGAACACCAAATGCAAATGACTGGGTTGTAGTTGGTGTCAACCTACACGGATAATCTTTGTCGCACGTGCTGTCTCAAGCTGCAATCACTGTACATTGAAAGCAAAATTTTCGACATCCCAGAAGAACAAGCATGCTTTGCATAACATGCATTCCGACGGGCACGAGATTCAGGTTGCCCGCAGTGGCAGGCAACCACACCGAGTTAATCGATCAGACAGTCAACGATTTAAACTTGTGTAAAAACCAAAATGCCTGATTTCCGCTATCCGCTTGGGTAGTTGACTCCATTCAAATGCCTAGGAGTCGCTCAGACGAAACAAAACAAACCGGAACCACAGCTCAGTTGATGTAAAATGCGTGAGTTATCTAACGAGCACATACCTGTTCTCCTCACCCCTTTTCTCGGTTTCACTAATCTCATTTTGGTCTTTGAAACTGAGGATTGTTGGAAACGAGAGGAATGGGATCATAAACAGTCATTACAAAGCGACGGTTAAATTGCTTTCCACCTGTTCACGAAATTTAAAAGCGATTAGCATAGCTTCAACGTGAATTTCGGATTGCTTCATTTCGATCAAATATTTATCAAATAGGCAGAAAGCTCACTCCAACCAGGTATATTATGAGACCAGAGAGTGTCAACGGTGGGCATATTTCGATGGTTTATGGTTGGACATATTATTATTAAGAGTATAACTTCATGAAGAGTGCTAGTAGCATGCTGGGGACATGTTGGTTCTAGCTACCTTTCGAAGGTCCCTTGTACAGACGGGTTGTATTGAGTCTGAGTGGTTAATGGTAAATCGATAATCAGATGACAGCTGCTTCCGCTGTGTACGGAACTCAAGTGGACAGATTCAACCCCCATTTGCCAAAGTGATTTCGTTATATCAAACAGATCAGCAGTTCTTTCGTCCCGATCTTTGTAGTTTCTCGATCGATGCTGCCTTATATGATCCAACAGATAGCTGAATGGTAGATCCAAGTTGCTGGTTCACAAGATTGGGCTAGTACAAGATGAAATGATAATCTTAAGGTGGCAGTCTCCTGTTGGCAGAAAATATACCGTTTTTATTTGGGGTGGGTGTTGGAAATTGAAGAATTTGGCTGAAATATGTACGAAGATGATGATGGACAAGTTGGTTCTCTTTGGTTTTGACTTGCCGAACAGTAAAATGTTCGTGCATAGAACAGAATAAATCGCTTCCTTTTTTTAGTAAAAGGATTGTTTCACATATCTCTAGTCATAAAAGATCGGTGCAGGATGCTAAAAGTTAACACATTCTCAGATCACGAATCCACCGTCACTTAAAAGAATTGAACAGGAGCTTCGAGGTCCCTTCAGCCATTTCATCAAAACAGAAAGAAGACAAATGTCGCTAGATGTTCACATTTCGTTTAATCTTCTCAGTCGCTGACTTGAAACAAACAGGCACATATATAAAACATGTGATTAATCAATTATGGTGAATAAACGTGTACAGGCATACAAAGACTTCTAAATTTAGAAGTAAAAGATCAACTCCACTTATGGTCGGGTGATGCAATCGAATAAACACTGCTTCACTAATCGCTAAAGGTTTAGCACTGCGATTACGTAATAGTGGTTTGAAGGAAGAATTAATGTTAACTGTGTGTCTTGTTGCTATGAAATGTTTTGCAACAGATAATACTGGATTTCTTGTAATCACTTGGCAATCATTTATCGGTCGCGTCATCGATTTCACCATCCACTTTGGAATATGTTCGGCCATCCGTTGTGACAGCTGACGTCAGTTGTCACAACGCAGGCAACAACATATGCTGCCAGGATGCAGAGAAAAGAAGCACAACAGATGGAGGGGTATTTTGTTACTGCATTAAACATGCCGTTAATTCTTAAAAAAATGTATTACTGAACTGAAAATTGGTCCTAAAGCCATGGAAAATCAAGAAATTCTGTCGCTTTTTTGACTGAATTTTCCCACTGTAGAAAAGGAACGGAGTGCCTACGTCCAATAGAAGCGCAGAAAAACGGCTATCAACTTGTCTTGTTCCTAGGTGCACCACGCACATTTATGTAAACTATAAAAGCACCAAACTTTACATCATGTTTGGGGAGAATCATGAGCAGTTCATAGCCACCGAATCCACCGGGATTCGAACCTGCGTACCATGTTTCGATGCGCTGAATATTCGTGTTATCCAGACCGACTTTCGGCGTTGCACAAACGTCAAAAATACTTGATATGGTGCTTATCTTTCACTATCGCTGTAATTCCCAGCAAATAAGTTACTGAACTGATAGGTTCCAGCACTATTCCAGTGTAATGGCGGATGAATGCTTGATCAGATAATTGGTGCAACTCTCTAATAACTAGCTTGGATAGCCCGTATGATTAAGGGGTGTAATTAACAATTCAAACTACTATTGATGATTCTCAACAAGGACCTAACAGCCACATTCTGCTTCCAAAGTTTCTGCTTGGGGAATCTTTTAATGTAATGTACTATCGTTGGGATCATATCGAAAATAAACAATTTGTCACGAATGCGTTTCCAAATAACTCAATCCCATCAATCCCATTTCTCCAAAATGTTGGTTTCATTGAACGAAATTACCGGAAACATTTCTTCATTCACCCTGCAAACTTATTTTTTAGGTTGAGTAAACTTCCCGAACTTTTGTTCTTGTAAAAACGTTTGTTCACGGTAATAAACACGTCCTGGTTTAAACATATTTCCTTTGAACGCACAAAGCTAGGTGCAACTAACCTGAATTCGGTAAGCACTCATTTATTGTCCAGATCGTTCTTAATCCGGGCAATTGTTTTTCAACAAAATTACAGGACGTAATCATGGCACTAATTGAAATCAAACTATACTCTACCTCTCTGTCTCACTCATCCCAGTCCGGTGGGGAGAACTTCACTAGTGAATTTGATAACCATTCTCTATAGTTAGTGATCGAACCTAGGTTCTGCGCAATTCACCTGGCAACAACTCGTTGCCAGACTTCATTAGTTAAGCCCGTGATACCGAACGCAGCATGCAGCCGAATATCAGTAGGCCAGTAGATTCTAGTAGCGCTCATTGATGTGTTCGATCCTGCACAATAAAATAGCTGATAGTCCGTGTTACCCGAATGACGATTACTAATGAGACAGATCGATAACATTTGTGGTTGGTGCTTATGAGGGCAAAACAAATGACGATTCTATTTCGGATAAAGCGAGCCACGAACCACGAAATAAAAGGTGAATCACAAACACCGTTGCACTTATTCCTTAAGAGATTATGCAAAAGTTTAGCGTATAATAGAATCACGGAGGTAGATATATTCCTGCTATTACCCAGCTAAGATGAATTTCACTTTGGCGACTGATTCCTTTCGGTAATTTAGCTCACCGGACATGGAAGCAGAGAATTATCAATAAAGTTTGTGTTGTTGCGTTCTCTGAGTTGAAAGTGTTGTTTGCTGGTTTTTCTCAACCACGGGAAGTTGCAATGATGATGTTTTCTAGTCTGGCCACAAAACCTCTGCTCAGAGAACACACCAACACGAACATCCGCACCCCGAGCTACAACTATTCCACGTTATTTTCAATGATCGGCAATGTTTTGATACCAAGTGGCTGCTCGAACTTGTATTATGAGAGAATAATAACTGAATGATTCTTAATCGGCCAGTCTCGGAGCATTTCTACAAAGAATAGTATGTTCAGGCGGTACATGAGGTGCATGTAAATGAAAGAAAGATAATTAGTATGATTATTAATAGTAGTAGTAGTATTACTAGTAGTTATGGTGATAATAGTATTGGATCATGGAACTTCATGCATGTCACCATTTCGCATTCATACGCTTCCATTTTAGGCAACGGTTTCATTGATGGGGATGAGGTGGAAACTTTTCTCAATCGACTGGTCGACTGCATTGTGACGGAAGAAGTGAGACAGGTAAACTTTTAGTACCCTGTGTCTGCTATTTGCGTGTGCTTGTATGCCAACGTTTTTCCGTAAAATACTTTAACTGGGATTCTGACATTCTGTTGGCTGTGTCACATTCAAGATGACTATCAAACTCTGTGCATGCTCACATCATTCTCCAGTGGTGAAGTTCAGTTTAGACCTATCCAACTCACGACCACAAGTAATGCACGAGGTTTACTCTTCTCTTGGTCTCGATCATTACCAATTCGTATTGTTTCATGATTGATACGTATTCCAACTAAAAGCAATGGCAAAAGATGCCCATGGTAGATTACACTTTGGTGCAGCACAAACAGTGCATTGTTCCGCCACCTTCACCTGCATCCATAATATTGGTTAACCATACTCGGCTGTCCCCAGGAAACCGTAATGTGGTCTGTATTTTACTCCCATTATAGATACCACGGTCGGAGGGAATCCATGTGCGGGTCTGCTTGTGCACTAAGTTTAGGTTCAATCAAGCTGCACAAAAATCTATTGAATTAATTTGCAAATTTCAACTACTCATTGTCTGGATTCTAGCGAAACTAAGAGTGTAAATTTGACCATTTGAGAACATCACCTTTGTGGGAACTGAGATACTGTTGGTGCACCGGTATCTAAGCGGTCAAACAAAAAACCGTTTGGGAGAAGAGAAATTTAACGTTATTTTCAACTGATTCATATTCAGCGATTCGTCGTCATTATACGTCGACTGTTTCTCCTCAATTTTATTAACAGACAATGTCTCCCGTGGAACGAAATCAGTTGGTTGGAGATCTCATGAAGGAAATCGATACCAACAAGGACAATAAAATCGATATTCGTGAGGTAACTATTGAATAAAAGATTTATTTCCGTTTCTATTCAATTTCATGCTATCGTTCGCTACAATAGCGGTTGACAAACTAAAGTTGCCATATATTTTCTTTATGAATGTACCAATAATCATGATCAGAACGACCAAATGTACGATAAGATGTTGAATAAAAAACCTGAAAACTAAACTATATACTCTGAGCTGGTTAGGACAGAAAATACACTCCACACATCTATGCTGAGATATAAACGAATCAAAACTGCGAACATTCATCAAGCTGTTTTAAATGTCTCCATGCATCTTCGGGACATACTCCTTACAAAACCTATGCATTACCCTTGGCCAATAATCGCTCATGTTTGTCCACCGATGGATGGATCACAACCGTTCCTAATCTGGTTATGGATTTTGCTGTAGACTGATCATCTCCAGACTGTGATCCCAAGCGTTAAACAATAGCATCATTGTATAAAACTTAGGTCATATCCAAAGTGCAACTATACTGAAGATGGCACACTTTCAGGCTTCGCAGTGCTAGTCAAGTGTTAGGGCCATCAAAATAATTAACCGGAGGTCCCTCCGCACCGCTGCCCGTCTTTCTCATTTCGGTATTTTCCTATGCGGTCTTCGGATAGCAGCGGCCTCCCACGTATTCAATAAATAAAAAAGGTAGTACAAGGACTTTGCCTATCAAGTTTGTATTAACCTATGCGATGATTCATAGGCACCAAAAACTCTTGATTGTTATGTGTGTATGTTTCACTCGTTGAAAGCTCTTCAATTTCCCAATAGCTGAATGCATTTAAAGCGACAGAAATATTGATGATGAACGACAAACAGCACAGGACTAGAACCGCGCGCATTCAGGTTGATACTTCAAAACCACACCTAAGACCATCAATAGTGCATGCTTCCCTGAACAAGTAAATGGGCTAATTCAAACTTGATACTTTAATTTGTTTGAACCCTTCGCACAAGGTAATGACCATCAAATATGTGGCTCGCAGTTGGAATCCTAACAGGAATACAAAAGAAGCAAAAAGATATAAAATTGGCATTTATCAGTCAATTTGACTGTTGATTGAAAGAGCTTCCAAAATATCCCTGAACTCCGGTCTCTTTCACGTGATTGAAAAATGCTTCTTTTCTGACAGCACGACATCCATGGTTCGTAGCATTATCGTTCTTCCATCTGTGGTTTTCACACGTTACTTGTTGGTGTTGGTGAGTTCGCCGAGCAGGAAGTGTTGTTCGCACACCTTTCTTAGCCAAGCTAGACAACATCATCAGTGTGACTTCGCGAACTCACCAACACCAACATTCGCATCTCGATCTACAATCATTCCACATCATTTCAAACACGTTACTTGTGTTCCACTCGCTGATAAGCCTTTCAGCGGTGTGAGTGCAACGTATCCTTTCATTTCTGTTAATTTGTCTATGACACGCGTGAAGTGTTCTTTGATACGACGATTCAGCTCAAAGCTTGTCACATGAATTCGGGCGTGATTCTTTTCTCAAGGGGGCGTCGAGCTTGGTGCCGAACAACCCATTCAGGCGCAGATTCTTGTTTACAATTCAGATATCATCAAACGGCCGTGTTCAGTATGTTGCATGATCTGACAGCCTTGTGTAAACGGAATCTCATTTGACATTTATTTCACTGTTATCAGAATCTGTTGAATTCTGTACCCGTATAACATTGCCCAGATAAAAATCGGTGCGAATCTGTGAGTTGCAAAAGGGGGGCAAACAAAATGAATGAAAATTACTGAGAGAAGTTCCAGAAAGCTGGATCTAACCACGGGAATCACTACCTGTCGGTCAAGTGATTCTGGTTCTCATGGCTTGATCATTCAGTCAATCTATGGATCAAGTCAATCGATCTATTTCCAAACCTAGTGATGGACGTGTGTGGTAATCCTAGCGTAGGAGATGACGCACACCAGAGTGCAATACGTTACAGCTTTCGGACAAATATAATGAATCAAGCTTCCCAGATGACGCCAGCAATGCATGCACGTGTCACAGCTTCTGAACTACATACCGTAGTTCGATTGTACCAGCAAATCAGAAATCGTGCGGGCCAAACAGAAGCTGATCAACGCCAGAACTATTAGCACTCGATTGGCCGAGACTTAGATCATCAATGCACTTGTTTTGTACATATTATTTAATCCTCCTTATTTCTTTAAATAAGCACCAGTGTGGTCCAGTGCTTACGCCTTGTCTGTAATTGCTATTTCGTGATTCGTATTTCGTGTTCAGTGCGTACTACAAATATTACAATTACTACTATAAGCTGGTTTGTCGAAACGTTTAGCACTAATTGTCGAATTTCACCCACACCGGTTAATCTTTGATCACCGCCAAATACCGTCGCATTTCTGCAATCTACAAAAGACTGTATGAATTACTAATTAGTTTACCTTACTGATATTATTTCATTCCATTTTGGTACAATGCTTCTGAAAACAAAGAATGAAGAAAGAAATTTCGTATACTTATTCTCTATTCACCACATCCATTGTGTACATAACAATTGATTAAGCACCGACTACTTGTTAACCTGAAACTGAATCCCACTTATATTTATTTATAATCCAACCTAATGCGCTCCAAATAGCACTGACGATTTCAGTCCGATACTGGCCAGATCATCTGGAAAATGGATCGATTTTTGTCATGCGGTATTCAGCGTATCAATTACGCATGATTGCCCACTGTTACCCTCAATCCCACCTATGTCTCTACTTCGCTGTGCATACCGTGTTCATTTACGCACGTTCACTTGAATTGTAATTCTTAGACCGAGCAAGTGACGCGATTATCCGTGTGCCTTACAAACTTCACTACCGTAACTAAACCGTGGTGAGTAATAAAGCCTAATACCCATGACATACCGTGAGACGGGGCGCAACTAGACGGTACATTTGTATTGAACAGGGGAAACTATGAAAATCGGACTGCTTAGGAGAACCGCAGAAACCAACTTATGAAATCACATCGCAAATATCTACCGGCGGGTGAGGTAGCGAATACAACAAAGAAAAATAGTAGGGACGATACAGTAAGACAAGGCATTGAAGACCACACATTCATGGACGAGTGACCAGTTGAACAACATAGGATATAACTACGAGTGTTTCGCTTTTACAGGTGTGGAGGTTTTGTACAGTTTGAAGTCGACTAATGCCGTTGCTTGTCAATGCCACATAAACTGTTCGCGAGTATGGCAAAGCAACTGGTCGATGTTGGTCAACTACCGTCGGAGTCGGAGCAGTGCAACTATTTTGTTTGAAGAAAGATACTCTCGTCAGATATGGGCGGACGGGAACCAATAGGACCCGATTAGACTTGAAAAATGTGTTGTCTACCTACATACTATTAGAATGGGAATGTGACCATTAGATGTTTACAGAAAACGTGGAGTTCCGGTTCCAATAAATGTGTAGGCAATGAAAAAAATAGGCGAATGTTTAATGTCCGACAACAGGTGTCTACCACGTGGTAAAAATTGTCTTGAAGCTAAGTAATACACTACATGTGTCGGTGGTTGCCCAGTGGTAACGTTACTAAATTATCAACCAGGTGGATATGTGTTCGAATCCAACCACCATATCCTCAATTCCACCACTATGTGTCGTATGGCATTTGTTCTATTAGCTGTCTCTCCTTATTGAAAATTATATCATTAGATTTCGCAAATTACAAGATCATAAGAAATAGATGTTGACAGCGAGTCCCGAGGTGTGTGTAGAATTGACCGTTTTATTGAACTGCAGCAGCTGAAGTANCATGGACGCAACTGGAACCCTGAGTTGCACACGCATTTAAGAATCGGGCTCCATCAGATCACCAACACACATTTTGAATGCAGCACAGTTCAGCGAACAAGACTTGCTTTCAGATATTAGCGTTCTTCAGACAGTAGATCGCAATTTCGAAAGTGAATTCGTCGTATTTATAGCAAATGAAACCCAGAGGTTAGTGTTGAGATGAACATGGTCTGTGGCCTGCAACAAGCTCGCCAAGATGGTTTGTGCTATATCGTGTAAATGGAAAATGAAAAACGGTCTGATCAGCTGCCCGGTGATCGAGTGGATAGCATGCTTGCGTTCTGCCCATGAGGTCCTGGGCTCTATCCACAGTTGGGTCGATGGATTCGCACTGCTGATGAGACCTAACCAGGTTAAAACAGCTGTTCGGCGCTTTCTAGTTTTTCCATTCACGCTTCATTTTCTATATACACGACGAATTTACATTTGAAATAAATCAAATCCTCCATTACTCACATCACAATTTATTTATCTGGGATCAAAACTGATGATAATTGATTATAAAAATGAGTAGCTTGAACCCAGTATTCATAAAAAAAACAGATTTTTACTTGGATCTTTCCTAAATTGGCGAGTTTTGAAATACACAATGGCTTCACAAATTGATTTTATGCACAAAATGAAATGAGATTGAGAGGGAGGTCTCCATTGCTTCTGCAGTGGCCAGGACTTGATTTATAGAAAACGCAACACTCTTTTCAACTATCTCGATCAACAGACCTTATACTACGAGTTGTGAGCGGATTGCGCATCTCACTGACTTTGTGACCCTAGTACACATACTAAAACCAAATGATTTTCACTAATCGGTTGATTCACGTATCTGCCCTTCCGTATCCCCACAGGGATAAATAAAAAGTAAACACATTTTGAGACTCTAACCATGGCCAATACAGTTGCCGTGTTTAACAAGTCCCTCGTCCATCACGTTTCTTATTACGAATTGGCTGATGAATAGAAGCAGTAGAAATCCTGGCTTTCTGTAATTGATCACTCACATTGAACAGGAACCGATTGATGCACAACTTAATCTGAACAGCTTTCCCCGTATAAGTATGAATTCGTTTTGATAACCTGAATAATAAACACCATGCTTTATTGATTGTTAGCTTTTAAAATATTTTACCCCACAAGCTTCCTTCTTGTGACCAGTTAGGTACAATAACATCATCTATATTTTGGCTCAG